CCCCATATAATCCCTATAGAACCCCATATACCCCTATGTAGCCCAGTTTAATAGTTTCCATTCTTTTCCAGAATCCCGAATATGATCCCTATAGCACACCATACACCCCTATATAACTCATTCTAGTATTTTCCATTTTCTTTTCCGTTATCCCCATATAATCCCTATAGAACTCCATATACCCCTATATAGCCCACTACAGTAGTTCTAATCCCTATAATACCCCAAATATCCCGATAGCAGTTTTTGTTTTTAATAACTCCTGTAGACACAAAAAGGATGGATCTAAGGTTGGATGCGTGGGTCTCTGAATATGGGACCTTAGTTAGCTGGGAATGAAGGAATGGAAAAGAAAATGGAAACTACGGATCCATTCCCTCATCCCTCGCTAACCGAAGGAAATGATATGGGACCTTGGTCTAATTTCGTAACTTCTAGGTAGCGCTTGAGGAAATATACGGGGTATGTGTGAGCATCTAGTAGATCCATTGGGCCCAGGATCAAGGGCTCATGATCTATAGTCTAAACTCCTAGTATCTCCTTTAATAACGCCTATACAGCTCCCCTAGATCAGCCCCTATATAACCCCAGTTTAGACTCTAGCTCATGTAGTGTCAGGGCTTCAAGGGCTTTGAAGTTGGGGTTTGGGATCTATATGGTGACTTCCCGATTCTCCAAGTGAATCAAACAGGGGAAAGTGTTGCAAAGTCACTGAACCCTAAACCTCAAACCGAAAACCTAGGCCCAAAACCAGTATAGTTGCATAGTGTGCCAAGGTCCTTCAGTAGATAGAGCAAGGAAGACGTCTGCTCAGCATTGTTCCGGGGGCTATTGGTTTTGGTCAGTCGATGCAATACAAAGGCACAAATAATTACCAGTATTCGCGAAGCTAGAACCATGATATTGGCAAGTTTTTAGGCTTCTACTGAACGTGTGGAGTTTGATTTAGCCATCACAGGCGTCCTAACCCAAAAGCTTCAACCCTCGATGAGGGGGTGTGCTCAAATGGGCGGCCAACAGCTAACAACAGGTGTGGCCCCTTCAGCATACCTAGACTAACCTCGGACCCTGAAAATGAGGTCAATATACCAACATATTAGGTATAAAACCTGCTTTTTTTAAGGTCCACAGAATGCGCCAAGTACCCTCAGAACACAAATTTAGGCAACGTCCTTCTTCCATGTTAGTTTAGAGGGAAGTCTCCTCTTCGGCTAAACGCTTAACGCAAAGCATTTCCAATCGCCCCTCCTTTGGTATTGTTACCACAAAGAACCCTACATGACCGTGGTATACCAATATACCATAACTCCTGAGGTAGAAGCTACTTTGATACGTGCAGGCGGGCTTTGGAGTCGCCATGAACCCCTACCTATCCAAACGTCCATTTCATGCTCCAGGTGCTTTTCCATTCGAACATCCGCCGTTGGGGAAACATCCCTGAATCCAGGCTCTGAAATCGTAGGACACTCAAAGCAACTCCGCATATGCTGTCCGATCAGGACAAGGCCAGGTAAGGTCAAGAGAGGTGATGTTGTTAGTATGCAAAATTGCAACTAGTCACGAAGTCTCATGAATCTTCAAGTACACTCTTGCCCTGAATTTGCATCCAAAGTCTGGTGAGTCGAGTGACCACTCCTGCAATTATCCAACGGCCTCCGAGTCCACGTACGAAAAAAATGTTGCTAAAGCTTTGCCTGCAATTACGTCTACCAAAGCCCAAGGAACAAACTGTTGAAAACTTGCACCTTAATTGCCAGACGGAAAACCCATGAACGCTCGGGAACTTAAGCCTCGACGTCGTCGCATGTGGCATATCTCCAACGATGAACAACACCTCGGCAATTTTCAAATCCTTGCACCTAAGGCCGCAAGCCTAAGACACACCTGGACCCTACGGACCCCACCTTGCAAAAAGTGTCCATCCTCTATACCTATCACATCTACACTGAAATTCGAATCGTAAACCCTAAACCATTGAGGCTTCCGTAGGCTAAGTCTGGTAAGGAGCCATCGTCAACGGCGCGCGGTCGCTGCTACCCTCAATTTCGGAGGTCCAAAAAGAATCAGGGCCCAGTCGGCGGAGCTCCGTCGTTGCAGCATAGTGTTCCCCATGGGGAACCTGACAGTACAAACTCCCAAACCGTCCAAGTAGGTTCTAAACAAAGTGGTAAATGTGGCACACAGGTCTATCTATGTCTATAGATGGACAATGCGCATGTAAATTGGACCAACGGAGATTTCAGACTTCCATGTCAGGAATGTGGAGTTGCGAAAGGATGCGATGTCAGGATAATTTCTGAATTGAAGGGTTTAGGATTTCCACAGAAGCCCGTAACAGGTGGGTATTTTACGAGTGGGTCTCCCATAGGCCTTCTATATCGCTCCTATACGTTTTAGGGTCTTATGGAAGTCCTTAATCCTTTTATCCCAAACTCTTGTCCTGGAAGACCAAACCACCGATGCTCTAAGCTCTCAGCCTTCAACCAACCCTAAACCCTTAACCCCAACCCACAATTCCTACGATGCGGCTTTTAGCAGTCCTTGAGAATCATGGGGAGTCGGTAGTGTGGGAGTGGTAACAAGCTGGTACACCCTACTCCTGAATCATGTTCAAGAATGGCATGGATGTAACTTGGGGGGGGGATAGCGTATTTCCACAACTTTGGACTCAACACTAATTACAAGCAGCCCAATGCCACTGATACCCCTTAATGGCATACATGCATATATCTTACGGGGGCCCTAGTAGCCTTAACCAAGTATGTTGGGCTCAGCGGCCTTTCAGTATCACCCGGCCCGCTACTGTTTCCCCCAGACATACCATGAGGTCTGAATACAGTACATGGCAAAAAGCTACTCCGGCCCGGAACTTTCCAAAACAGGTGTTTACTGGCTTATTGTGGAGTTGTAAATAAGACACAATTAAAACGGTGTTCAAGACAATCCAAGTCTGAGATCTCCGGTATAACTGGAGGGCTCAGCTATTTCACAGAACGCTCAACGCATCTTGAAAATACTCACCAGGCCATCCAAAGCCAAATACCTATAATGTGAGCATTAACCGCGAAAATCACCGGTGTATGGGCCACTAGTAGGACATTGGAATAAACACTACGTGGTCCTGAAGAAGTCCCTCTACGAGAAACCAGAAACCTTACCTAGAGGCTGGAGACTTTATAGGTAGATTTTCTAGATGGCTTTGTATCATATGGTTTTGGTGAAACCTCCCCACACTCTGTCACGTACACCTTTGACGTAGCCTTTGTCGCATACCTTTTGTTGTGAATGCTTCACACGCTATTGCCCACATCAAGACTAGATACCTTTGTCACTAAAAGGCTTGCAAGCCGATGATCTGAACATGGCCAAACATATGCCATGATGTTCCTACCCTGAACCCTGAAATTGGGTTCCCGGGCTCACTTGCAAAGCGGCCGCCCAAAGCCAGCTACGAACTCCATGTTCTTGTCTCCGGAGCATACGTGTATCCCTAAATTATTACCTTCGGGTCCTCAGGTAAGAATAATAGGAGTAATGCATACTTCGGGCTAGTGGATGTTTAAGGTATACGTACAGCACATGGGTACGCTCGTAAGCAGAATCTTTTGCACAAAGCCATTAACACCAAAAAAAGAGAAAGGTGGCCGCATAAGCCTATGTAGATATGATGAAGCCCCCCAAAGCAGGACCAGTAACGAAAGCCAACCGATGCATGCGGTGCAGCAGTCGCTCCTAACCATGGCTTTGAGATGCGCAAACTTAGTCCCTACGGGTCCTGGTATCGGTATCTAGCTATCTATCTGTCTTGATACATGTAGACAGACTACACGGAGAGAGAAAAGAGACAGAGAGAGAGAGAGAGAGAGAGAGAGAGAGACAGAGGCAAACGTTCTCCAATGGGCTACTATGTAGTTACCTACAGGGCCTGAATGCATGCTTCTGGGATGCTTTGAAAGGGGGAGGGGCTTCTAAATGTGTACTGTTTCTTTGAGTGTATGGCCTAACGCCATTGGGGTTTCGTGATTGCAGCTTGCGATATCTGAGGACGTGCAGGTCCATTTGTGAGACGGGGTGTTTAAAAGCTTTGTGTGGAGTAGCTCCACATGAAGCGCCGGTGAATCATCCAGCGCTGCGGGAAGATTTCTACTGCCAGTCCGGCGCCCATGTCACAGGCACTGAGCTTAGGGCTCGGATAAGACAAAGCCATCCTAGACGTTGAGCCCATGCATTATGCAAGCTGAGATTTTCAGCGAATTTGGGTCCCGGCCTGTTATCGGTCCCAAGCAATGAAGCCATACTAGCCCTAAACCCTAAACCAAGGAGCAATTTCATTGCAAAATCTTTTAACTAGTTCATTGGTAGAACAAAAGCAGATGTTTGAGACCCTTCATGTGCTTCCGATGATCCTGTTTTGCTTTGGAACCAAGAAAGACCACGATCTAAACCCTGAGAGTTCCCTCGTGATACTATACAAGCTCAGTTTCCATTTCATGTTCCATTTTTTTTATCTGAGTCTCCACTATAGGAGCAATATCTTTTGAACATCCAAGCTTGAAGTCTAGGCACCCCCCCCCTAAACCCTAAACCCTAATCCCCGCAGCCGAGCCACTAGAACAGCTTCAACTTCAGAACCAATGGCCAACTCCTACCAAGCAGGGTACTGTGAATGGAGGAGTCCATGCACCACCAAGGACCTGGGGTAGGGTTTAGGGGTTTAGGGGTTAGGGGTAGGGTTTACACCTCATCTGCTGACTCTCTAGTTCCTAGGCCTTATGGACCTGATGATGGTGCAGGAGTTCCTCCATCAACAGGTTGCGGGGATCATATGGGTTGCTGTTCAGGAACTTAGTTTCAATCACCAGAATTTGGGTATGTCGTAAATAATAGGATTTCCTTATTGTTCCTTAACGACAACCCAGGATCGTAGGGGCTGTGCCAGTCAGAAAGCCCAACAACCCTTAATTAGGGAGTATTCCCTAAATGATACTAGGATCCCTAATATGATTCAAGGTAGCTTCGATAGTAAAGGATGTTCGGCTTTCTGGGGACTCACCTTACAGGTACTACAATGAACAACTCAGGCCAAATCTAGATTATGTATTTGCTACACTGAAAGTCTACTATGTCCCTAGTGAGCTATAAGCTTTATAAATTCCTTGTCCGAATTGAAAGAGCCCCGCTGAAACATTGTTCGCACAGGTCCTTAGTACACACTTATTAAAATATTGGCATGATTCCATGACAGTTCATGGTGGAAATCTAGTACAGCACTTGGCACGTGGTACGCGTATATCAAATTATTTGGCACATCTCCGTTGCTTGTTACAAACTCGTCAAAGCCCTTGTTAAGATTCTTAGTTTCTTTAAAGTAGCCTGTTTCATGTAGCGTCCTGCAGGATAGTGGTGTCTCCTTCAGGCTCGATCGATGAGGCCAGGCGAAAAAGCTGCGTATTCTCGTCTGCTGTCACCACCTCATCCAACCTCTTCGGCACTCGCGGGCTTGTGATGGGCTTGTGATGGGGTTATATTGGGATACTGGAAAATAACATGGAAACCACTTTTCAAGGCTTAGGGTTTAGGCGTGTGCTTAAGGGTTGGAGGCTTCAATGTGAAAGTCCTGAGCCACTCCCCGGATTGAAATAACGCCAGTCATCAAGTTGATGATGACGGTGATACCTTCGATCACAGTCTAGACCAAGTCCCTTTGAAAACCTTGAACCCTCCAAAGGAACAGCAGACGCAAGATCTATGTGGATACATCCAGGAAGGGCTAAGAGTGAAGGTGGTCCTCCTGAAATAGAAGGTCGGTCCCAAAAGGCCTGCCTGAGAGGGACCCGCAATTCTTGGAAACCCCAAACCTTGTCTATCAATGCATAGCCGTGTAATCGAGCACAATTTAGCATCACCCCGAAAACCCCTAACTGAAAGGTTCATGTGAGTCCAGCATCTCGCACCCTTCCCAAATTGGGACCCTTTTCCAGGGCTTCCAAGGGATTGCATGTGGGCACACAGCATAATCTCTCTGCTTGGTAGTTTCCATAAATCGGGGGAACCCAATGTACAGACCCCCAAAATACCTCCCCCCAAAAATGTTTAGAATTCGGTCTGCAGTGTGGCGTATGGGTTCGGGGCTTAGGTCGACACAATTACAACCACTGGTCATGAAAGACCAGGTTCTCTGGACACACACACCCTTCTTGAAAGCCCGGGCCACTTGAGGATATCCTCAACGCTAAACCCCAGACCCCAAAACCTAAACCCTAAACTCTGCTCATACCCTTCCTTTGGAGACCTACCCATCTCATATCCACTGCCAGGATGCCAGAACCCCGCAAAACCTCACCGGACCACCCGTGTACCTACAATGATGGTATAGGGTTTCGGGTTTAGGGACAACAATGGTTTAGGGTTTAGGGGCCCAAAATGATGGGTGTATGTACCATTCCTATTTGCAGTTGGGAGGTCGAGGGGCATGTATACTCGAGGGCGGGCCACCAGCATGGCTGTCCCGCCGCCCATTGCATGGCAGCTGTTTTCACGCTGCTCGTTCCCACCTGGATTTGGGGTTCAGAGGTGGGGTTCAGAATTTAGGATTAAGATATGGGGTTTAGGGTTACCCTGGGGCTCAAACAGCCCAAAGTATTTACTACATATAGATGTCAGCGCACACCATAAGGACTATCTATATACTCGGAGCCCAGCGTTACGATGGATTCTGCCATTGCGGGGATCAGTTCGAGTCATTCTCTGGAGTGGGATAGTATCACCCTTCCTAAGCCTTATAGTACTCCCCTATATATATTCCACTTAAAAACCCGCCTTAAAGAGTGTAGACTATAGCTCCATGTAGGGAGCTCCTACTGGTAGAGTTTGCGGGACCTGCGGGAGCCTTGGGTAGATCTTGGGGAGTCGGTGGTAACTTGAAAACCTAAAGCCCAAAAGCCTAATTAAAACCAACATGTCCTTACAACCCTTCTGAGGCCGCCTATTAGAAGTTGAAACTTAGGCCCGTCCCTAGACCCTAAGCCAGGCCAGCGAAGTCACATTGTTGCGGAAAGCTCTCTGGCACGTCCGGCAATGTGACACGCTGCGAGGAGGACTTCCTTATCTGGGTTGTTTTGAAGGAACGTAAACAAAGTTATTATGATAAGGAAGCCCTGGTATTTAATATATATATATACCCGTATCATGGAACTTATACTAAGTTCCTTAGCGGCAACCAAGTTGTTGCCTTGCTTATATACTCGGTCAAGGGTTCCTGCTTCGGGATTGAGGCTTCTGGATTGTTGGGGCCAAGGGTTGAAGCCCTAAGAACCCTAAAAACTCAAAAAACAACACTAAAAACATTGAAACCTCTTAAAACCCCAAAGCACTAAAAGCCCTAAAACCCCTGAAGCCCCTAAACCCTAAACCCTAAATTCCTAAACCCTAAGCCCTAAATCCTTAAACCCTAAATCCCTAAACCCTAAATCCCTAAACCCTAAAGCTCCTAAACCCTTAACCCTAGGGTGGCTTTGAGTGTCGGCGTTCGCAGACTCGAGCTTTCCTGGCACGCTTCCTAGATCTCCCCCGCTACGAAAAAATCCCACATGGCATGAGCCATAGATAGGGTTCAGGGTTTAGGGTTTGGGGTTTCGGGCTTAGGGCTTAGGGTTTAAGGCTTTTAGGGCTTAGGGGCTATAGTCTAAGGCTCCAGTCACCTAAGCAATCGGTTCTAGGTTCTATATACCCTGTAGTTACATAGCCCAGTAACATACTATCTAGGCAACTGAGAGCCTTAGGATGAGCTAATAGTCTGAACTCCTAATGTCCCCATGAAAAGCCCCTGTAATATAGGGTTTGGGGTGTAGGGTCTAAACTGGTAATATTCCACTTCATAGCTATAGTAGTCCCTGTATAGGCCTCCCTTAAGGAGTTTAGATTCCGGTTCATATAGGAATTCTGCGGATGGTATGCGGGGATCGGGGATCTATTCTTCATTCCACGGTAACCAGCCCCTAAACCGACTTTTACTTGAGTACCTTGGTCCAATCTAGCTTTCTCTATGTGACCCCAAAATCATTTTCGGGAACCATGTAGGGATGCATCACACATGTGGGCCTCTTTCGGGCTTCTCAAAATTCTGAAATGCAACATCCAAGGAAATTCGCTTATATCTGCGTGAACATGTCCCCTATTATATATACACACACCCCACTTGCAAGCCCAAGAACGCCCTTATATTGAAAAAGATGTTAGGGTTTAGGTCCTAGGGCTTAGGTTTAGAACACAGTTTAAGGTTTAAGGCTTAGGGGTTAGGGACATAAGTGGGTTATCTAGGGTTTCGAATTTGCGAAAGTAGGAGGCCATTTTGGGGGGTCTACATATGATCATTATGGTATGCAAAGGTCTATATTCGGGGCCCATCTTAAGAAAAGCTTATTATTGACGTCATGTAGGAATCAAGCTAGAGGCCTCGCATTGATGGTCGGCTTCCCACTCTATTTATCTCTAGATATTTCTGCAGGTCGGTCAGGAAGTAGTAATCTGCATAGAGACCTGGGTTTAGGGTTTGGGTTTAAGGTACCCATACCTCGAAATCTTCTGAAAGCGCATGATTCTAGACCCTCAGCCCCAAGCCATCACACCTAAACCCCATATACTGCTCTTGACAGCTGAGTATCTCAAAACGAAACCAGCGCTGTGCAATCCACTTCTCGCCGGCATGCACAGGG